AGCCTCTGTCTTAGCAACAAGATAAACATGAGACTGCCAGGAGCCATGAGGCTGCTAGTACTCTGATAGAGAAGGGCAGGTATTGAGGAAATGTATTTGTTGAGTTGCCCTCCACATGCTATGTTGTACTTTTCACAGCCAACGACAAGGGAACAAGAAGTTCTCCTCTCTGGAGCTCAATAAAAAGACTGCCTGTTGTATTTCTGTATGTGTTAACAAAAAGCTATTCTGCAAGAAAGATACAGCCATACAATTGTTGCAGCCACTTGCTGTGGTTTTGTATTTAAAGTCTTCTCTGCTCTCTTACTTAGTAACGCAGAAGATTATTTAACAGTTTTTAGAACTACCTATGGAGGTAAAATACAGATAAATTTTAAGCCAACTCACCAGCATTAATAATAAAGGAACACATTATTTCATTTAAAGCAAACCACACTGAAGCTATAACTTCACAGGTCTTTTCACAAAAAAAAAGCACAACATTCAGATTGGAGAAACAAGGAGGCGGAAGCTACAAGTCAATTAAACTGAATTTTTAAACCATCACTGCTGAACTAACTTAACCCCTGCCAGAACAGACTGAAGGATTGCTCGTATCAACTGCTCTGCCATCAGATAAATGGTGTAAGTGGGAACGCCCATGAAAGAGGAATGGAAGTTTTCATTGCTCTTAGTTGCTCTTCAAAATCTAGCCAGCTGGTGAGAAATGAGTTTATATCTCTCTTCCAAAGACTACAACACAGAGTCATTAGTACAGCCACCACAGTTTCCCTATCCCCATTAGCTAAGATGAGAGAAGAGGATAGGGGTGGGTTGGGAAAAAAAATAGACAAACAAGCAATGCACAGACTTTAAAAATATCAAATTTAAAATAATATGAGGGGACGGAAAGAAGGAGAAAAAAAGAAAGGAAAAACCACTAGCTAATCTAACAAATACCAGATCAACATTATATACCAAAATGCAAGAAATAGCTTTAATTATTCTGATGCAGAAAACTGCTATTACCGTGGCATGTAAATCCATAGACTAAAACTGGGTATGAGGGAAAACGTATGGAAAATCAGTTTCCAGAGTATATATATTAGCTGAATCAAGCAGGGATTACATTTATACTTTAGGCTAAGAACTCATCTTCATGGTCAAACCAATTTTTTTCTGTTCACTTAATCGAATTTCTAAAGCAAACACCTTGTTCAACTCTTCACAACCCGTTCATAACCAGCATAATTCCCTCAAGAATATAAAACATGAAGTTTTCCATCAGTAGCTGAACATGCAATAAAGGAGTACTGGGGGTGGGGAAAAGAACTCTAAAATAGCACATTAATCAGTGGGTCAAGTCATAGGCATACCTAAACTGCAGCATTCACCTCCAAAAATAGCACTTAACTAGGGATGAAGCTAGTGCAGCAGTTAATAGATGCCAGGGATGTTCAATTCCATCTGCAGACCTAATCACTTCATTAAAACAGCTGTTTAGGAGGAAGACATTTGCCAGCTACTCATCTGACCTTTAAAGAGAAACCCTCATATGATTTGCTTGGGTCTACAAGATTATAAATCATCAGAACTCCACTGATTTTCTACCACTTCACCAGGAGGGGCACTTCCATTTACAGCTGCCTTTCTGTCCTTCTCTTGTGCTTCTTTGCCCCAAGGTGAATTTGCATTGCTCTTTTGCAGTCCCTTTCCCTTAACTGAGCATTATGGGCACTTGAAATCTTTGTACTGAGAATATTTGCTGAGAACATTTCCCAGAGCCAGCCATTCTGGGTGAGGCTAATTCAGACAGTGCATTGGAAACTCTTTGAACAACACAAGGCAAATTACTCACCATTAATTAAAAATAAGCATTCTTTAAAAATAGAGGACAAAAGTCATCACTGCAAGTATTGGTTTGTTCCATGGATTTAAATTATTTGGACTTGTTTCGCTGATAACTGCACTGGCAGGATCTTTGGGATTAGATTTTTTTGTTGAAGTTTTATTATCTTGAAGGTCATAGTAAGACTTTATTTTAAAAGCATTAACTGTGTGATTCACCTTCTCTGTTCCCAGACAGTCTTATCCTTATTTCTTTTTTATTATTTTAAGTGATAAAATAGACACTTCTATGGATGGACCACTTGTATTGGAATGGTGAAGCTATCAGCCACGTGTGTGGGGGAGAATGACAGCTGGAGGAGAAATGATGGCTGAGTGGCAGAAGGGGATGAGCAGCCAGAGCCTCCCAGACAAGAAATCAGTTGCTGTGGAAGAGAAACTGGACTTTTCTCCAGTAGTAGCTGAGCACAGGAGAAAAAACAAATCCTCATCTTGCTTCCAGATTTTAAAGAGGCTCATTTTGATACAAGGAAAATAAGGGTGCAAATGAAATGAGCATACCTACCTTCCCAAGCAATATATTGAAAGCACCCTGAATACATGGATTTTTCTTATAACCACATTCCACTCAATAATGAAGTTTGCAAGATTTTTACTGAAAGATATGGGGAAAAAGAGGATTTTTTAAATTAACCAATAAAAACAAACACATACTGTGCTGTTGGCACACAGTAACTGTAAATTAGTGAGCAAGCAAAGAGGATAGAAGACAGAAAAAAGCTAATCTGACCTTTTCACTCATCAATTCTACTGCAATTCAGCTTCTGCTCTTTTCTGAATATACATGATGTTGATATCATCTCTCAATCAAATTCAGTTCAATTACCCAACTCTGAAAAGTTGAAAGGAAAACTGTAAACAATAATACTGCCTAACAATATTCTAATTACTACACAGTAACAAAACCCAAGAAAATAAACCTCTGGCTTGCAGGATAACTGCCACCTTCATTGCCTGGCATTTCCCAGTCACTAAGCAAAACTGGCAAATACTGTATGCAGGGAGGGGGAAAGAGAAAGGGAATTACACAGAATTCAGAGGCAATTTATATTCAGCTAGAATTCTGGAAACTTTTTTTCCCCCCACCTCAAAGGCTAAGTCCATCTTGAACCTTTGAATCAGTTTTACATTACTCCAACCATCCTAACACCTCTGTGAACACTATCCATTCTCAAATTCCTGTTCCTGGTTATTTGCTCCAACTTCAGCTAGTCACTTGCTCCAAAAACTTCTGATACCCGCTTCACTATGTGCCAGAAATCCCTAATCCAAACCACTTATCTTCAATTTCACCTTTGCATCCTCCTCTCTCCCTCCTCACTTTGCTGTTGTTTCTTCTTGTTGTGCTGATGGGAAGCAACATTTGACAGTTTTACCCTGTAATACAGGGGCTATTGGAATGCTGCCAGCATAACGACAGCCTTCAGCAGTTGTTTGTTTGTTTGTTTGTTTGTTTGTTTTTTGGAGTTATAGATCAGAAGAAGCTGAAGAAGCTGGTGATTCTGTTAGGTAGATGCTAGAGACTCCCTACTTCCCTGGATTTTTTAATTTCATCATAATTTGCCTCATCAAAGTTAAAGCTATACAGAAAGAGACAGGATAACAGAAATTCTTCATCAACAGTACATTGTGTACAACAAGTTGTCCATCAACAGATTCACTCTACTATGAGATTCATGAGTCATTCTCTAGTCATTAACTGAACCACATAAAAAATATTCTGGATGAAGCCACCAATGCAATATTTCACTACTTTAAGCACTGCTGCAAAAGCCTCTCTAAGAATTGCTAGAGCTTGTCTTAGGGAAAGAATAAACCTATACTGATACACTAGATCTTCCACAAATTATGACACTTCTCTTTTTGGAAAGCGTAACTTTTTTCTATGACTTCTCTTCAGAAGCTTTGAACTACAAGAATGCTCTGCAGACTGTTCCAGCCTGAACTATACTCACATGAAATGCTAGTTGTCCTAATCCAAACTGCTGGAAATGCAATGTGATCCTTTACAAGGCCATTACTTCTATGCAGAAAGCATTCATTTACTGCACTTGGAACTATGTCCTGTTAACAGCTTTGATTTTGTTCTTAGGAAAGGAATTGAACTAAACTCAATGCAGACAGAAGATGCACTGAGGATAGGATGAAGAAGTGGGCAAGCAGTAGTATATCCTCAAGTGCTAGGATGGCATTCATGAAAAAAATGTCAGGGAAATACAGCTGACAGTTCTTGGAAGATTAGCAGCAGGACAAACAAGGTAGTTTATTTTCAGGTGGACTCAGGGACCACTGTCACCGTGGGACTGCAGACTCAGCCACAGATGATACTAGCAGGCAACTTTCATGTGGCAACAATGCTCATCCAGTAAAAATTGAAATTCAGCCTTACATCACAAAGCAACACAAAATGTAATCTAATGAAAGCTGTGGGTCTATGAATTTCTGTTTCTTGTACAGAGAGAGTGAAATTATTACATTATCACAGAATGGCTAGGGTTGGAAGGGACCTCAAGGCTCATGAATCTCCAATCCCCCTGCCACATGCAGGGCCACCAGCCTCCACATTTAATACTATACCAGGCTGCCCAGGGCCCCATCCAACCTGGCCTTGAACACCTCCAGGGATGGGGCATCCTCGACCTCTCTGGGCAGCCTGTTCCAGTACCTCACCACTCTCATAGTAAAGAACATTACTACAAAACAACATTTCCTATATACTGTTTGAGTTAGAAGTCCTTAAATGAGGTCATTCTTACTGGACTGTGTTCAAAGAACATTTGAAAATAACTGCCTCAAAAGCTTAATACAGCAAATACAGAAAGTTTCAGCTAAAGTGAAAGTTCAAGAGTTCTGTAACACTTTGTGCAAGTTAAAACTGGGTTCTAGAGCCAGAACTGGTTAAACTAATGGTAATGTTCAGGAATGTTGATGCCTATGTGGTAATAACTGTATTTCACATTTAACATGCTGTTAGAGATCATTCAGAGTCTACATTTATAATAATGATTTTTTTTTTTTTTTGAAGTTACAGCTATAGAGCTAGTAAATATCAGATCTAAAGTACTACAGAAAGAATAATTTCAATTAGACTGATGTTTTCTGCATGTACTCACCCACTGATCTCTGGAAGGGTTGGCAAACCTGCTTCGCAGACATATGCAAAAGACTGTAGCCCATGTTTTTGTTGCTTGTATTTATTAATCAGGTCCATTAGCACTGCTTGGTGCCCAATCTTCTTCACCAGCTGCTGCACCATACGATCATTCAGAGCCAAGAGAGCTGCTCCACTTACTTCTTCTTCTGCAAATTGAAGGGGATTACAATCACTGTGAGGTAATTTTGGAGCTATAGAGACATCCTACATTCCTAAAAACATGATGGTGTTTTAGGTCAAAGTCAAAGATACTTTCTACTAATGGTGTGTTTCTTCAACTGCTTTAAAGAAATGACGTCTTTTAGGTACTGTCCTTTCCAATGCCAGAAGCTCAAGTCAGTGTCCAGGGTTCTCTTACCTTCCAGTAAGAGAATGCTATGTCTGAAATGCAATTAGTATTACACTGCTTAAAACCAGACCTTATTTTGCCTTGCTGTAGCAGAATGTTTCTTTTTTTTTTTTTTTCCCCGTAATTAAGAATTGCAAGGAGCACACAGCATACAAAATGTTCTCCTAACAGTTTCTCCTGTACTGTTATAGTGTTTATGTACACGAACACTTTTAGAGTATGCATCCTTTGAAATAACACAACTGTAGCAGTATAAAATAGGCCCCGTAAAGCTTGTTGTACTGCCAGCTGTTTCTCGAGAGAAAGTGCACCTCTTTACAACCAGCATTAGACTTTCCCCCCTGCGCTCCTCGAAGACCTCAAAACGAATTTGCAGTTATTTTAGATGTATTATACGGATGCCAGCCCCAAAACAAGCTAAGCATACAATTAAAAGCATTTAAAAAGATAAAAGACACAGGAACAACAAGAATGCCTACCGCGAAACTTAGGAACTAGTTCTCCTAAATTGCTCTGTCTCAGCCAGTTGCAGACTTGATCCACAGACCAACTTTCCATCTTTATGTGTCGCACAGTTAAGTTTCACTGGGAAGCAAAAACAGAAGACAATTTTCATGCTGAACTAGAAAAAAAAAAAATTGAAAAAAAAGTACTTTGCAAATGCACTTATGTTTACATGCTCTGAAAAAAAAAAAAAGAAAAAAAAAAAAGTGAAGATAATCCAACTAATGCCTGTCGCGAGTGGCAGCTTCCTTGAATCTCTCTTTCTTCACCTCCTCTCCTTTCGCTGCTTTCCCTCTGCTTCCAGAGACAGCCTCATTCCTTATAAAACACGACCTGCTCCAGCACCATTAACACCCAGGTTTCCATACAGAGAGGAAAAAAAAAAAAAAGGTGTGAAATTCACCACCACCACGCTCATCGGGAAACGGTTGACATCTTAAAGAAAGACACACACACACACAAAAAGAAAGACAACCAAAAGCATCGGATAAAAGTCTGTCGCTTGTATGCTTACAGAACATCAGGCACATTAAGCCCCTCTGCACAATCAATACGTAGCCAGGCAAACACTTAACGGCCAATTAACGACAATTAGAAGCACTAAAGCTGCCGGCGTGGGGAGGGAACAGTTCCTGCTGGCAGCCTCTGGTCTCATTCCTCAGACAACAGCACGCCCCGGGATGAGGTGACACTGTGACGGGACGGGCACATCCCCGGAGTGCCAAGTCTTTGACAGTAGAAAACTCTCTGAGAATGATTTTCTTGTTAACGTGTCTTAGCGCTACTGCATAAAGGAGCACCTGATGCGCCATAACTGAACAATATCAGAGCAAATCATACAGGCAAGATTTTTCAGATGTGAACACGAGTGTCTGTAATTGTCAGCTAAGTACTTCCATGCTCAAAACACTACCTGGTTTACTAGCTCCTAGGTTACTTAGTGTTGTGGTTGGTGCCCCCATCCCTGGAGACTTTCAAGGTGAGGCTGGATCAGGCCCTGAGCAATCGGATCTAGCTGTGGTGCCCCTGTGCATTGCAGCAGAGTTGGACTAGGTGGCTCTCAGAGGTCCCTTCCAACTGGAAGGATACTATGATTCTATGTCTGCACACACCCTGGATCTGCTGTCAGAGCAACATTGGTAAACCATTGCAAACCTTAGCAGGACCTGTGCCATTGAACTACCAAGAAAAAAAAATAAGTAGCACAACATCATTTCCCTTCAACAGCAGAGATCCCCAAAACAGACACACTCAGATTGTGCTGGTACGCTTCAGCAACTTTAAAGGGTTAAGTTTAAGGGGAAGGTCTTGCTGAATTACACAAGTGGATTTAATTTGATATGACAACAGTAGCCATACAACTCCTCCCCTAGGCTAAGCAGCAATAACAGGGTGTGAAAAAGTCATTATTTGCTGAGAACTCTGGTGTAAATTAAAAATCACACCTTCTTGTCACACTTTTTACTTCATTGCAAAGAATAGGACTCAAAAAGTCCCAAAAAAACCCTTGAAATATAAAACCTAAGGCTAAGCAGAATTATACTTGCCTTACTAACCAGTAAAAAAGTAAAGAGATACATTAAAATGGTGGAAAGGTCATTACTTCACTCTAGAAGAAGGTTTGCATCCTGGAACAGTTCTTGCTAAAGCAGAGAGATGGAGATGTTAACATTTCAAAAAGCAACAAGCAAAAAACAGCCATGCAAAGCCACATCCACTTTTATCACTATGTGACCAACTCTACAGTGCAATGTCCATTTGCACATGGAAATGTAGGTTGTGCACTTTAGGGGGAATAAAGTGATGACAGTTTAGAAGCTTATTTAAAGAACGTAATATTAAGGGTCACTACACACAAACTTCAAAATGTGTCTCAAAAGTGCGTGCTCAATTCCTTGCAAATATTCCAGATACAGGAGCTGGGAAAATAGCACTCTAGTCTTCTATCAGCATTCACTTGTGAGAAAAAATCTATGGCATTGCAGACTACAGATACATTAATCCTTAACAGACCTCTACATGACTGTCAGTGAGGTCACAACGAAGGTTTTAGTGCATTTTAGGACAAGAGTGAGGAATGTGATGTGTGCACTCCTATATGTCACAAATATGTGACAAATTTTGCACGGAGTCAGATCTCAGCATTGCAAGTGTGAAGTTTAGGAATTGATGCATATCATAAATAAAGCTAAAGTGTTCCCTGTGTGTATTTTTGAATTCTATCTTAATTCATTTTTATCTTTGTATGCATTACAGAAATGTATTGTTTTCCTTCCACTTACTCCGAACCTACTACAACTATTTAAAATAATTAAATCCAAGCTACAATATGGAAAGCAGAATGTCTAATCTTGGATACAGTGCATGAAAATGTGGTAAGTTAGCAGGACATCAGTTATCCACCAACCCTTTTAATAGTATAAAGGGAAGTACTGTATGAGAAGCATCTCTGCCACCTTCCTAAGAATTAGGAATATACCAACAGTTTATTGCTGTCAGTTATCAGGTACACGCTAGCACAAAGCATCCATCTGAATGCTTACAGAAACAATTAAATGAAGCAATGTGAGAGAAGGGAAAGAAAATTCAAGTATCAGTGCCGGAATAAATCTCAAAGTGCACACTTCTGTTCTCTTTCCCATGCTCTACTGTAGGATAGGTAGCTGCAACACAAACTTCGAGCAGACACAGTGGAAAATCTGCATCAATTCATAATACACGTGTTTGAGAAGTTCTAGGCAGAAAATATGCACAACCATAATGCAGATTCAGATGAAGGGGTAAAAGCCAGACAACACTTCTAAACCTTGATCAGAGGTAAAAAGAATACAAAGATTACTGGACTTGTCTGTCAGCTGAGCTGACAAATTCCTCTGCTGTAGGAATTAGTTCTGAAAAATATTAAAAAAACAATTTTCTCCTTATTGTACTTGCTTCTGATTAAATATGAAGCTTTTGCTATCCACACTTTCACTAGATGATCTTTAAAAGTAATTTTATCTATACTATCTATGGTGCTGCTGGAAAAATGTCATACTTCAATTCAAGTACCAAGTTCCCTCTGTTACACATGTGCAAGTTATTTGGCAATTTGAAAGCAATAAAAGAAAGTTAACTCGACTTGTTTTAAGGTGATTTAATACCCTTACAGATGAGACTCTGTCCAATCTATTGCTGGCAGCAGTGCACAAGCCATAAAAGAAAAATATTTTATTTTTTATGAACACAACTTCTGGAAATAAAGCCACTGTAACATCAGTTCCATCTTTTTCAACTAAAAAAAAACCTACCAAATTAAAATACAAGGTTACTGCATATTGAGAACAAGAAAAGATCAAGTAATTGTTAAAAATTCATAAACCTCAAAAATGAAATCTCATATATCACAGAAAATGTGATTGGACTGAAGTTACTCAGAACAATACAAGAACTGCTTCAAAAAGATAAAGAAAAAGCCATTTATTCTTGTAAGAGAAATCACACTGACTTCTTTTTCCTCAGAGTAGAGGTATGAATTTCTCAGCACAAGTGAGGACCACAAGTACTTTCAATCATGTCACTGTTTTCTTCGCAAAGGACTTCACCATCTATCCCTGAGCAGTGCAGAGACTTCTGACATACACCTTGCAACACAATTCCACAGAAATCTAATTGACAGCTGTCATAATCCTGCCTCTTCTTTGCAGTTGTTCATAGGCTCATGCAATCAGAAGTTCAGGCTAAGCTGAAAATATATGTGTACGTATATATTCTCATATGGGTAGTTTTTGGATGGATCAGTCCCTCTAACTCCCATAACAGGTGGGTGAAAATAAGTGGTGGAACTGTATCCCTAGATTCACTTAGAAGTTGTATAGGTAAATAATGCATTATAGCAATTGAGGTTTCTGTTTTAATGAAACATTGATTTATAAAGTTAGTCCATCATCCCAAATTGTGAGCAACATGAACCTCAGTGAAGTTTTTGAGCTCTCCTGGTGTTTGATCAGCTGCATGAATCAGAAGGCAGAGAAGGCAGAGAAGAAAGTTACATTAAAGACAAATGAGAACTCCCTGAAAATGAATGAATTGCAGTCACTGGTAAAGACAGATAGCTGTGTGCAGTCAGTATATGGTCAGCGACATCTTGCCCAAAGGTCCCTTTCAGGTAACCATTAAGTAACTGGGAAAACTAATGATTGCTGCACTTTATGAATTGACAGAATGCTCAAAGCTTGTCAGCTCTCTGAAAGAGTCTGTGTTTAAGACGCGGGAAAACAGGTCTGAGTAAGTCTGGTGCATCTCTCTTTTTTTTTGCCTGTTGGGGGCAGAAAGGTAAAGCCTTGAGGCTTTTGTCTGTCCCAAACAAAGAGGGTGGGGTATCAGGAAACAACCTGTGGAGCCTGCTGAGGATGGTTGGTTGTGGACAGCCCTGCAGCACCCTGAGCTTGGGCCTGGAAGCTCTTGAGGTGCTTGGATATGACTGTGCTCCTCATTCTGCATGGATGGGCAGAAAGGGATATGTGAAATAAACAGCTGCCAGTATGCAGCCTGGAGAGCTCCTGCAAATCATCTTTGCCCCTGTTTTACCAACTTATTTTAGAAGCTGAGAGTGGGGTTGCAGCACTGAGCTGTGCATATCGCCTCCTGTATCTTTGACTTGCTATTTTAGCATCACCGAGAATCACCGAATTATGTGATTACTAGCTGCTGACAGCACTCCTCCTCCAGTTTATTTATCTTATGAAGACGATGATGAATAACTGGGTTTTAACACATTTCATGATGCACATTTTTTTATTTTGCTTTCAACAGTTAATTCCGAATGACTGTTTCAGTCATAGGTTTTTGTGTCAAGGAGTTTTGTTGGCATGTTAAACCAGGTGAGTTGATATGATTAAGCTGAATAGTAAAAATAAAACAGGCTGTCACACTGGCCTATTTTACACACCAGAAGCAGCACCATTAATTTGGCACCCTTTGCCACAAACTCTTTAAATAAGGGCATTCTAAAGGATGGACCAAGAAATGTATTGGATTTATTTGGCTAAGTTATGTCTAGGGTATATACAGCTCATTTCTTCAGGTTGTAGCCCT